CATAAAGAAGCTCAGAGAAACATATTTGATCGCAGCAGAGGATCATCTGGGGTCAATTTGGGTGAAAACTTTTAACTCCTCAAAAACTCCAAATCTTCGACTCAATGATTTTAAATTTCTCCGTAGGTTGTATTAGATGCCACTTTTGACAAGTTGATTTTAATTAAAAGTTGTGAACCGTGTTCCCAGGGGACTCCTGGCACTTAAAAACATATGGTGTCCATCTGTCTATACATTTTCCAAAGTTGCCATTTATCTACTGTCAAACAAAATAGGAAACGGTATCCTTTTGTTACTTAATGATCATTAAATGCTGTTAAATTCAACACTACAGAAGTTGTTGGCTCGTTTCACAGCAGCGAAGATATGAATTGTTCAGCACAGTTAAAGTAGACGAGTGTGTGCAGGATGTTGTGGTTATGGAGCCTTTTACTGCCAGAATTCACAAAGTCGAGGCTTATAGAGAATAGAAAGAGGAAGAAAGTGCCCCAGTGATCATGAGACTGCTTACCAGATGAACTTCACCGATTGTATTTAAATTGAGGATACAACAATCTTTATTAGGTTGCCTTCCTTCTTTTTCCGTAATGCGTCACACACTCTGCTGGTGTATCGAATGAGGAAAACTGTTGGTCGAAGATAAAAGAGTGGGCTGAGTTTGATCAATAGGGAAACGAACCGACTGGCCACCAGCACTTGAGTCTGTGTCACTTAGCGCTGATGAACTCTGCCCGGAGCTTCAAAAAGGGAGGCGGAGGAAAATCAGGAGGAGACCACACACAACCATGAGAGGGAGGGTGGTCTCTGATCTGTCGACACAGAAGATGAACTAGGGGGATTTCATACCTGGAGAGATATTATGTCATCTGGGTCAAATCGTCGTGAAGTGAGACATGACTGTACTGTTGATATTAAAGATCAGTTCCAAGAGTTTCAGTATTTCTTACACTGAACGGCACTTTTTAAACTTGTTCTAATTAAGTCATTTTTCTACATTTCCAGGGCACAACATGTAATTATATCTCATAGGGGCTACTGTCAGTGATTAAGCTGTTATCTCTTCTTCCTTTGTGTTCTTTAATGTGTTTCCCCAAGTATAAGGTTTGGTGTATTACTGGGAAACTGGCACCAGTGATAGTCAGAGAAATGTAAAAAGTGCACTGCTCATTTTGGGACGTACGCTTATTTATGTTCTTGCTAATACTGATTGATACCACTCTCATGTTTGTAGAGTAAAAATGAAGCTACAGCCAGCAGCACGTTATCTTGGCGGAGCACTAAGACTGGAAACAAGTAAACAGCTAACCTGGCTCTGTCCAAAGGTAACAACTGCTCTTTTTATGCAGAGATTGCGCCATAAGGCTACTACAGAGTCTCTTCTTTATGCTGCCTTGGCATTTTTACACAGAAGAAAGAGGCGTTGTGGGCGTGAGATGTAACACATTAGCGTTGGCTTCTAGTGTGACATATAACATACGTGTCAGCTACGCTTTATAAACAATAACAGTGGCATTAAGGTGACAATAACAATCATTTACCATCCCTGTTATTTGGTGGCTCATTGTTTTCCCAATTTGTGGAGATTTTCTTTTTTGAGTTAGCTGCTAACTGCTATCAGCTATTTTTAAAATTTTTCGCGGTGGGTTGCATGCATAACACATCCTCAAAATGTCCCATTTATACAGACATCGTTGTGGACCTGTTACTACCTCTAATGCTGCCTTAAAGGCAAGACGACTCTGCCCCCCATTCCGCAATTGTACCATTTATACAGAATGACGAGGTGGCATAATGCCGTGAAATTCCCGCCTTGAAGAGGCAATGTAAAAGGGGCTACAAATCTGTCTATCAGCACGTCTAAAGCTAAAAAAATCTTCATTTCCACTACATGGTTTGACTTGACTCTATTTTGTTTTCCACTGCAGATAGTACCCTTTAGTGTAGGTGGGATTCTCTGCTGTTTGCCATGGCGACACCACGGGAAACTGTTGTGATGACATCTTCAGCACGACACTCGTCATATCCTTTCATCAGCAACCAGAGAGTTAACCTCAGATTAGTGAAAACTCCTGTCAGATTTTATGTTTTATGTTTGAAGTGAATACTTAACTGCCATTAACTTCCTCTAACCCCAACCAAAGTGCTTTTTGGCCTCAAGCTAACCAGACCTTAACCACAGCCCTGTCACACCATAAAACAAGAAAATTTTGAAGCAGCTCACAAGCGTGACCCACACCTACGCCTGCACTTTGTCACTTGTATGGCGTAGTTTATGTACTGTACACCGTTGTTTTTCGAACTACCATTTCTTAAAATCTTAGTTATGTGAATAAGAAAATTGTGGTTACTTTTGACAGTAGCTTGGCTTTACATCCTGCCGGTTTGCGCAAGATGTCTCATCATGCTAGCAATGGTTCTCTCTGACCAATCAGTGGCCTGCAGTGTTTTAACACCATCTTCTTGTGTCAGCTCAGTCTTGACCAAGGTGGTACCAAAAAAATACCAGGTACTTTCCACAACTTCTGCTAATGGAAACCCCCAAAAGAGCGAGTCATGTTGGGTAGAGCAGTGTTGTACCGTGGAGTGGAAATGTGGCATAATTAACACTTTTATATATCTTTGTTTAAACCTCCTGTAAATCAGCCCATCCACGGGTCTTTGTAAGGTTTTATTTGATGAGTTTGATATGGTTACGATATGTTTAAGTGATTTACTCATACGACCTGTTGTTGGAGGTATAACTCACCTATGAAGTGTTACTATAATCTGCAGATCGATATTATGTCAATGAAAACGCAGCTCATACAGTCTTCATATACTCCCAAAGGTTGAGATGATCTAAATCCAGTAAAATATTTAGTCCAAACACATTATAACATCCTTTGATATCCAAGAACTGCCGTTGCATTGTTTCCCTACATATTATCCATAATTTCTTCAGTTTGCATGTAAGTATGCCGATTCCTCTTTGCCAAAATACAGGTGAGCTCCTGGCCTTTTGATTGACACCTCACTTGAGCCAACAGGAGCTTCCAATGCTGTTGCTATGGCCTAACACATAGACTGTTATAGATGTACAGAAATGATAAACAGATGGCTCCTATGTTGTCTTAATGGAAAAAAAACAGTCTGTTTTATCAGTTAAGGTTGATTCCATTGTGTTTTCCAGTAAATACCCCCCAGCTCTGGTCATCTGCAGCATCTTTTTTAAAGAAAATGTTCACACCAATATAGAAAAATCTTTTATTTCAGTGTGTTGAAACTCAACTCAATGACAAAAGCAATTACAGTGATCCTGAATGTTGGGTTAAAAATGTCATAGTGCCACCTTTCAAATGAGACCATACACGTAGTGTACTAAAAATGGAACAAAAACAGCTTTCTCTTTACTTTGGGTGGCCTTGAAGAGATGTGTTTTACAGGATGTGTAAGAGGTTTTAATCTGTACGAAAACAGAACATGATAATTAGTGAGCTTTAGAGGTGCTGGTAGGCAGATTTTGTTACAAGGCTAGCCTGTACTGTACCGTTTGTTTCCAGTCTTTATGCTAAGCAAAGCTAACTGTCTACTGGCTTTAGCTTTATATTTAAGAGACAGATATGAGTGTGATATTGATCGTCTCATCTAACTCTCAGGCAAAAATTGCATGAATGTATTAGGGGTGGGCGATATATCGACAGATAAGAAATAAATTGTGAAGACAATAAAGCCTCCACAAAACAGTATTTTAAGTCTTGTGTGTGATTTATATAAGTAGTGGACCTCTCTGCTCATTGCTAGGCTAATTTATACAATGTAAAATGTTATAGGCTTGTGCTAATAACGTTAGCATATTATGTTTGTTTGGAAAACGTGTTTACTATAAGACAGTTGTTTTGTCAGTGAACCTTGTGAGTTGTAATGGAGACTAATTTTGTAACGTTACCTTTGTTAAATGTTGCTGTTGTCCCTGGTTTCATATGAGTAGAGGAAATCTCCGCTAGCCGCTAGGCTAATTTATACAATGTAAAATGCCATAGGCTTGTGCTAATAATGTTAGCATGTTGTATTTGTGGGGAAAATGTGCTTGTTTGTGAATGCTGTGAGTTATAGTGAAGCTGATTTGTGTACTTGTGTTTGAAATTGTCTCTATTAACTAAACTAAACTTTACAGCACCTCAACACCAACTACTGTTTTGGAGGTTTAACTGTTGTGCAGCTGCATATTTTCAAACAAGAGAATAAAATCCCTGTCTTTGCATTTTATTTTGATCACAGTCTGTTTTTATAAAAGTGCTTGTGACATGTCAAATGTGGCTTTGACTTGCAACCGAAAACATGTAGTCTATTTCATAGAGAATACCGTGATATATATCATGTATCGCCAGTCAGCCTGTAAATATCAAGATATGAATTTCTGTCTGTATCGCTCAGCCCTAGAACGTATTTTCCAAAACTATTTATTCAAGACAAAAGAGGAACAAAACACACCAGACATGTAGGTACAGTATGTGTGTGCATGAATAGACACACAAAGACACACCCACACACATGTACAGTATGAACTCAGAGACACGCGACGTGCTGCTGTGAGTTACTTAAATGCTCCTACTTTGCTTGTGCTACAAGATATCCAGCCATGCATGTCTCTCTCTTTTGCTCTCTTTCATTGCACATGCAAGCACACACACTTTCTCTCTCTCTCATGACTAAAAAAATTTGCATATCTAGAAAGTATTTCCTGGTAAGTAGAGCAATGGCAGCTCTCAGGAGAGACGCAGACACAGATAGAAATTTGTATTAAAAAGAAGAAACATCTAAGCAAAAAAAGAACAAAACCACGGTACACCATTACTTTAATGATCCATCATGTTCAAAGGAAACTTATTCACAATCTTGCTGCAATAAACAAGGGAATGAAACACTGGAGTAAAGTGCTTTTCATTTGGCGCTTCCATGCAGCAGCTGTTTGCTCTTCGCTCCTCCGTTTCTGTAGTTTTTAACCACATTTTCTCAAACAGGTCATGCAGCCGCTGCACGTTACACCGTTAAAGATCTGTTACAGCGATGATGTCGAGGATCACAGTGCACAACAAAGGGTTAAAGGTCAGATTCTCCTTGTATCTCCTCTTTGCCGTAGGAATGTGGGTGTGTCGACTCAAGTGAAATGCCTCTTTTCCCTTCACAGGCCAGTACATCGCAGGTTCAGAGTTCAGAGGTTACGAGTCCCAGGAGGTGTCAACTTCATTACCCAGAGTGCATCAACCCGACCCAGAGGGCTTTCTCAGTATTTAGGTAACCTCTAACCTCTCGCTACTCGGGAGTCATTCAAGCTCTCCTTCAGTTTTCACTTTACCCCCCTTCTTCCAGAGGTTTCAGGGTTCAAGTTCACTGTCAGTGCAGCTCAGACATGTTGAGGCCATCCAGCTCCGTCTGAGGCACAACACTGACTGAATCTACCTCTTCTATCTGTATATGTTGTGCAATCATGTGTGTCTTGGAAAGATGACAAGCATTTCAGGTATTTTACTTAAATTAAAGTCATTTTGCTAAACATGTAATTTATTTATGAGTTTTGTACATTTAGTCGAAAAAGAAATCCAGTAATAATTGGTGGTTTGCAATAAGTATTATCAACACTGTGAGGTTTTGTCCTTGGAAACAACAGTGTCACCACAAGGTCCATTTAGCTGTAGCTGTTCTGGAGCTTTCAGTCATGTCATGTGATCTTCATTAGTGTGTAAAGTCCTGCCCAGTGGAATGTTCAAATGACATATTTTTGGACTTTAAAGGACCAGTTTGTAGGATTTATGGGGCTATATTGGCAGAAATATAAAATAATAAGTATGTTTTCTTTGTTATAGATCACCCTTTTTGTGTTTTTGTTACCTTAGAATGAGCTGTTTACATCTACGTAGGGAGCAGGTTCTATTCCATGGAGATCTCCATGTTGCACCGCCATGTTTTTACAGTAGCCTAGAATGGACAAACCAAACACTGGCTCTAGATAGGAACATTGACTTTTTCACATTGGTCATCGTAGTTAGCAAAACTGCTTTATTCAGTGTGTTAGCAGTTTAAATCACCAATTCACTTTTTTTCTTAACTGCTGTTTCCAAGGTTGTAAATTAACCTTAAACCGAAACATTCAGGACAACGTGGATTAAACATTCTTAAAGGAATACTTTACCCACAATATGACCATTTGTATATAAATTACTCACCTCGCCTTATCTTGAATTCGTGAGGAAAACATTGTTTTTCTCCCATGCCTCTGGTGGAAGAAGAAGAAGAAGAAGAAGAAGAAGAAGAAGAAGAAGAAGAAGAAGACATACTTCATTAATCCCTGAGGGGAAACGTAATGTGTTCACTCTGTTGACATATACACACAGGCCTTAAATACACACACATGTACAAACAGGATCTATATATGCATCAAATAGAGAGATGTCAGGGTGAGGGGGCTGCCCATTGACAGGCGCCCGGAGCGGTTGGGGGTTTGATGCCATGCTTAAGGACACCTCAGTGGCGCCCAGGAGGCGAACTGGTGCCTCATCAGCTATCAGTCCATGCTCCATATTTGGTCTGGATGGGGACTTGGACTGGCAACCCTCCGGTTCCCAATCCAAGTCCTCATGGACTGAGCTACTGCCGTCCTGAGAATCCAAAAAGAAAGAGAGTTCTTGATGAATTGGAGTAGAGAGATTCACGTTTAACAACCTCAGAATTCTATCAAAGTATAAGTTTACAAACTCTCACACAGCTCAACAAGCAACAAATGCATTTTCACTATAACATTAATATTTAAAACAATTGGCTGTGTTTATATATTTATAATGCTACTTGTTTTGTTTAGCGTATGACATGATAAATGAGACTTGGGTTGTACTGCACGAGTAGTGTGAGAGTTTGTAAATGGATGTTTTGATATAGTTTTGCATTAGTTAAACGTGGACCCCTATGACTTTAATTCATCAAGAATTTCTTCTGTTTTTGGATTCTTCATTCACCATGGAGGCATATGGAAAAAACAAAGATTTCTTCATAAATTCAACATAACACAGGGTGAATAATTAATATACAAATGACCATTCTGTGGGTGAAGTATTCCTTTAAAGTGCTCATGACAAACTGGACATTTTGATATCTACAACTTCATGACGACTGGAGCTCCAGAAGAAGCTTATGGTGAAACCGTTTTCTCAGCAATCATTCAACCATTTATCATACGTAGAAGCTGTTGTGTTTGAGCCTACCTTAAAGGCCCAGTGTGTAAAATGGGTTGAAAACAGTGACATCAGTGGTCAAATTCTAGATTGCAGGGCTCACTCGCTCACCCCTCCCGTCGGGTAAATGACGGTGGCCTCGTAGGGACAAAAAGCCTTGCGCACAAGTTTTTCAGGAGTAGGTCTATCTAGCGACGAGGTGAATGTTTATTTAGAAAACTTTATAACTAAAAAAATTTTTCACTACTCTCTATCGACGAACTACTAACACTCTCTGCTGTTTCTTCCTCCTTCTTCCTTCCTTCCGCTGTCTTCGTTGGTTCATTTATACACGCGAAACGCGTTCTCTGGCTGGCTGGATTGTCCGCTCGGGCTGCCTTGCATACATGGCGGCGCAAGATGGCGACCTCTCTAAAGCAAGGCCCTTGCTATATATATATATATATATATATATATATACAGTACAGGCCAAAAGTTTGGACACACCTTCTCATTCAATGCGTTTTCTTTATTTTCATGACTATTTACATTGTAGATTCTCACTGAAGGCATCAAAACTATGAATGAACACATGTGGAGTTATGTACTTAACAAAAAAAGGTGAAATAACTGAAAACATGTTTTATATTCTAGTTTCTTCAAAATAGCCACCCTTTGCTCTGATTACTGCTTTGCACACTCTTGGCATTCTCTCCATGAGCTTCAAGAGGTAGTCACCTGAAATGGTTTCCACTTCACAGGTGTGCCTTATCAGGGTTAATTAGTGGAATTTCTTGCTTTATCAATGGGGTTGGGACCATCAGTTGTGTTGTGCAGAAGTCAGGTTAATACACAGCCGACAGCCCTATTGGACAACTTAAAATTCATATTATGGCAAGAACCAATCAGCTAACTAAAGAAGAACGAGTGGCCATCATTACTTTAAGAAATGAAGGTCAGTCAGTCCGGAAAATTGCAAAAACTTTAAATGTGTCCCCAAGTGGAGTCGCAAAAACCATCAAGCGCTACAACGAAACTGGCACACATGAGGACCGACCCAGGAAAGGAAGACCAAGAGTCACCTCTGCTTCTGAGGATAAGTTCATCCGAGTCACCAGCCTCAGAAATGGCAAGTTAACAGCAGCTCAGATCAGAGACCAGATGAATGTCACACAGAGTTCTAGCAGCAGACCCATCTCTAGAACAACTGTTAAGAGGAGACTGCGCCAATCAGGCCTTCATGGTCAAATAGCTGCTAGGAAACCACTGCTAAGGAGAGGCAACAAGCAGAAGAGATTTGTTTGGGCCAAGAAACACAAGGAATGGACATTAGACCAGTGGAAATCTGTGCTTTGGTCTGATGAGTCCAAATTTGAGATCTTTGGTTCCAACCGCCGTGTCTTTGTGAGACGCAGAAAAGGTGAACGGATGGATTCCACATGCCTGGTTCCCACTGTGAAGCATGGAGGAGGAGGTGTGATGGTGTGGGGGTGTTTTGCTGGTGACACTGTTGGGGATTTATTCAAAATTGAAGGCACACTGAACCAGCATGGCTACCACAGCATCCTGCAGCGACATGCCATCCCATCCGGTTTGCGTTTAGTTGGACGATCATTTATTTTTCAACAGGACAATGACCCCAAACACACCTCCAGGCTGTGTAAGGGCTATTTGACCAAGAAGGAGAGTGATGGAGTGCTGCGGCAGGTGACCTGGCCTCCACAGTCACCGGACCTGAACCCAATCGAGATGGTTTGGGGTGAGCTGGACCGCAGAGTGAAGGCAAAGGGGCCAACAAGTGCTAAACACCTCTGGGAACTCCTTCAAGACTGTTGGAAAACCATTTCAGGTGACTACCTCTTGAAGCTCATGGAGAGAATGCCAAGAGTGTGCAAAGCAGTAATCAGAGCAAAGGGTGGCTATTTTGAAGAAACTAGAATATAAAACATGTTTTCAGTTATTTCACCTTTTTTTGTTAAGTACATAACTCCACATGTGTTCATTCATAGTTTTGATGCCTTCAGTGAGAATCTACAATGTAAATAGTCATGAAAATAAAGAAAACGCATTGAATGAGAAGGTGTGTCCAAACTTTTGGCCTGTACTGTATATATATATAAAAGCATAATTATAAGGCTACGAAAACCAAATGAATTTTATTTTATAGCGATCATACACTTGTATAAACATATTAATGGGTAGAATATTCAGATTCACATTCAGACTGACAATAAACCATGCCAAATATTACACACTGGCCCTTTAACGTGCCTTTATCCTAATACACGTTGCCACAAGTGACTCCATTGACACAGATGGCACCCTGTTTATAAGGGCAGCCAAACTGGATCAGTGTCGACTGATATGCGGAACAGAGACTCCCGATCCAGGATCCTTCCTCTGCTCTCCTCTCCACCCCTCTTTCTCTTTAACGCCTGATTGTTTAAGTGATAAGTGGCGGTGATGGATGAGCCGGGCTTTGTGTAATTATTGTCCTGGTTATCATTGTCACTGCTGATAGCATACATCACCGTGTCCCAGCCCATTTTGCATGTGATAAATAATAGTAGCCAGAAAAAAAAAAATGCAACCAAATCATTTGTGAACAGACCCCTCGAATGTAAACACTCGCGCAGGCTAATGGAGGGTCCTGGTAGGTACGAGCGCTGATGGCGTGAAATCATGACTATGGTGTGATGCTACTAATGTTTTTACTGTGTGTGTGTGCTGTAATGAATGCCAAATGAGCGGCGCAATGGTCAACACACACGCCCAGACACACACTTGTCTTCTCTACGAGTGCGGAGGCCTCGACACACACTTGGCCTTTTTTCCCTCTCAGTGCGTGTCGTAGCCTATCCAAACAAAGCTGCTTTTAGAGAGCAGCCATTCAATCATTTTATATACTTTGTCAGAGGTGATTAACTGATTCTAATGTTTTATCATGCATCTATGATACTTGACAGCCCTCAGGTGATGTAATCTCTGAGGATGATTTATGGATTATGGCAATTAGCTCTCAGATAAAGGCTATTATTAAAGTTCATTTGCCTATTACAAATGACGGCGTGCATTGTGATATCTTTTTTCGAAGAACATTTACACAGTACCTGCGTGAAGATAGAATCTAATGCCAGATAAGGAATGGCTTGAGGAAGTCGGCATTTAATCTGCAGGCTATCTAGAAACTGTGATGTTTCTCACACAGCCACATGGCGAGATATCATCTGCCATTTGCTACATTTTCCTGTGCTGAGTGTTATGTATAATAATGATAGTAGAACTTCCTGTTATCTTTGATCACCACAATAATACCAGCCGTGAAATAGTCTATTTGCATTCCCCTTTTTGCTGCGCTGCCTCCGCCTCTGCCTCGCTCTCTCTCTCGGACTAGAGCACACGTGACCCCTGACCCCGAGCTCTGTGGCTGACTGAGCATTATGACATGCTAATTGGCCATGTAACAATATATCAAACTGTGATATAATGCCATGTAAAATGTGAAAAACACATTGTAGACCAATTAGTGCTGACAGTTCTTACTCTGCTGATGGCAACTTATATTTAGCAGGTCATTTATTTAGCAAGTACTTAAACAAAATCATCTTATTCATGTCCGTTTTTTTTTTTTTTTAGCATTTTCTGTTTGTGTTGTCATCCCCGAAGATAAAATGTAAAACTGTTGCTTTGTTAATCACAGAGATGATTATTTTTATAAGATATATTCTGCAGGATTTTCCGAAAAAACAATTTACAGACTCAAACAGTAGTAATTCCTCTCAGTCAGTGTGTGGCTGGCCTCATTGTCTCTTTATTTTCTGTGTCGAGGCGTTTATGGCCGTGTACCCATAGCGCTCAGGTGAGGGCAGGTCTTTAGGAGTAGCACAAATCCATAGTAGCATAAATGTCCGCAGAGCTTTGGATCTTTTTGATGTCCATTTTTGATTCCCACCATCCTCAGATGTGAGAAAAATATGTGTAAAAAGGAGCACACAACAAGCAAACAAACAAAAAAATTCATAGCAGAGAACAAAACGTGAATTATAAGTTAATATTTATAATGTCTATATGGGAGATCAGAGTCCAGTAGATCACATCATTCAAAAAGGTATGAAATAACAGGTGCCCATTTAGTTTGCAATATATCTGTTTTAATTGCAGTCTGGCAGTTATACTTTCCATCCAGGAAACATTCTTATTTTTCTCTCTCCATGGTGTTACTGTGGGCGGCTGTGGCATTAGACAGGAAATTGTGATCATCAAGTTATTCTGATTCTTCTGATTTTTTGGGGGCTTGCCAAAAGCTTTGCCTTGAATTGATATGACAGAAGTAAGTGTGAAAGCAAGAGAGAGAGATGGGACGACATGCAGCAAAGGGCTGCAGGCTGGAATTGAACCCACGGCCACTAGAGCAAGGACACTGCCTGTGTACACTGGACACCTGCTCCACCCACTGAGTCACCAGGCGCCCTGATTCTTCTGATTCCAAAAGGACTGATGGTGCTCACTGATATTCCAGTAGTTTTTATGAGTTTTATGAGTTCTGAAATAAATATGTACACATGCAGTATTACGTTACATTATTAAACATTTTTCAATTCAAAAAAAAAATTTTTTTCAGCGCTTAAACAGCAGGTTCAAGGTACATTTAAAGGCGGCCTGTGAATATGCTCATTTTCAGGTTCATACCTGGATTTAAAGACACTATGTGTAACAATTTCAGTTGTTCTTTGAGACAAACAAATTTTGCAGTCAAAAGTGTGTCCTAGCACATGTGTATTTACCTCTATCAACGTATCTAAGTATGTCCTTAAGCTCCGAAATTCTCATTTACATATACATTGTGACTGGTGTCTCATCATGTACGTGCGCCATCTTGAAAATACAGGTACGTACAGGGACATACTTGAGAAATATGGAATTGCCTTTCGCGTTTTCACTTGTCGGTTTCCGGTTTCAGCCTGCAGGTAGAGTGACAAAAAGCAGCAGCAAGCAGGCTAGTCACAAGTGCTAAGGCAAAAAGGCAATGTGACCGGCAATTTAAAAAAACGAGGGTCAACATCGGGGAAGCCTTTCCCAGGTGGAGAGAGCTGCTGAAGGAGAATCACAGCTAACAGCGGTTAACAGCTGTTAGCGACCAGCGCCGGTAACAGCTGTTAGCCGCTGTTAGTGCTGCTGTTAGCTTCATATTGTCTGGAACACTTCACTCACCCTCTGCCTGCTTCATTTTTGCACCTGTCTCTTTAAGCCCACCTTTCCAAAAAAGCCTAGTCTGCTCCGATTGGTCCATGTTTCCAGGTCTTCCATATCTTGGAGCCTGTGTGTCGTCATTGCAGCCTGGGAGTGGCTGTGATGGAGAAAAGCGTCATTTTCTACTGTGAAAAATCACCAAAATCTTCACAATCGAACATGTTCCAGCAGGAAAATGATCCAAAATCGGAGCTACCAAGATTGCATGTTTCCCTGATGTTAGCATGTAGCTACATGTAGCAGTGTATTTAACGGAAACACTTACAGTAGTGTGCCTGGAGCAGATGACCATATAAAGAAATCTGTCACGAGCTGACGTCAGAGTGTCCCAAAGTAGAAAAAAGACATTGAAAACAGAATATTCAGAGCGGTCTGAAGCCTGAGGGTTTCACTCACAGGGATACTAGTTGAAATGTTTGCTACATTTAATATGAACATCTAACATTGTTACGTTATGTATATGACAAAAAATAAGGAAACGCATCAAAGATCCCCTTTGAGGACACATTTAAGGTTGGCCTACAGTCTATATTTGCAGTTTGTCTTAAACTAAAACTATTTTTGTGTGTTTATTTTACCACAGCAAACACTGTGTCACATTGTATGTTGTGCAGGCACAGTGCAGTGTTAACATGTAGTCACACCCAAAGAGCAGCAGTCTTTACAGCCCCTCAGTCACTTCACTCCATTTCTGTGCAGCTCATGAAGGAATCCGTCCTCCCTTTGGCAGTTTGAAATGTCACCTGATGTCATCAATTACAGTCTGCTCTACAGACAAACTCTCCCTCACACCTTAATGGAAGCTCGAGGAGATTAGATGTCTGACAATCAGCTGAAAGGCTAAAAGACCAGGGAAAAGTCACCTGTGTTCATTTAAGAGAATACTGAATACTTACACCTGTGAGGGCTCTCTGCTTCTCACTGTAGTGCAGCGTGGAAGAATTAATTTTAGATCAGTGAACAGCTTTATTTATTTATTAGTTTATGCAATCACAAGTAATTCGGTGTACTGTTGCTTTCATGTGAAAACCATGTATCTCCAAAGTGTCAACTTGCCATGAGATAAAAAAAGGGTTAAGATAATCCAGTGTGTTTTTAAATGATTTACTCAACTTAAAAAGTTTTTTCTGAACCTACAAAAAAAAACTGCATTCTTCAGGACATCTGAAAATTTTGAAATCACAACATTTTTTTCCTTTATAAACTATAAGAAGTATTTTAGAATATTTATTATTATAATATTTATTTATTTATTTATTGTCATAATGAACGACTGATGTTGGAACAGTCCATCTGACAGGGGTTACACGGTACCAATAAGGCAGGTGGGTGCTGTTGGGTTGCAGTGGTACCGGTCACCCCTCCCCCCCGCCCCTCAAAGTGGATCGGTCCACAATGTCAGGTCAGAGGTTAAGCGGGAAGTAAATAGAATTAAGTGGACTAAAAACACAAATTAAATCAATAAAGAAGCTAAAATCGAAAAAAGTCAGAGACACGGAGAAGAACATACTCCAGGCTGGTGTTTAGACATGTTCAAAGACTACATACATATTGAAAAACAACGTAAGCTAACTGTTGATGATGCTAGTGATGCTAAGTCTTGCTAACGTTAGCCGCAAGCTAATGATTCCAGCGGAGACAAGCGGAGGCCGCTGCCGAGGAGCTCGGAGCTAACGCCCGGCTATCGACCAGAGGGGAGTGTCACAGTGTCACAGTGTTACAGAGGAGGCTGCTACCGACCAGGACTAAGAAGAGAAGGTTGCTGCCCGCTGCTGAGGACGAGCTACATGACAGCGTCTCAACAGGTGAGCGTGCTAGTGCTAAGCTAGCTCATACAGTGACAGTTAGCCAGTTAGCAGCAGTGCTAATGCAGCAGTACTCAGGTGGCTTAAACGTTTCTCTTACAGGGCTTTAACTGAGTGTGTCTGTGCTGTAAATACTGTTTGAAATTAATTTTAAGGTCTGTTATTTGTCAATAGCAGACTGCTGCCATGATGGTGATCTGATTATAGATGCTTAGCACCAGTAAAATGTACATTATTACATATTACTAGTTACCATCAATTGAAAGTTATACGTTACTTTACAATATTACTCTCTGTGTAGAGTCATGAGTTACTTATTACACTGCTTTTGTGTTACTTTTACCAAATTGAATAGGCATTATAAATGAATGAGGGTCATGTTGTTTCACAGAAGCTCCAGTTTATTTCAGTTCATTTCAAGGTCTGACACATTCATGCCTTCACATACTGTGGTTATTACTTTGTATTTAAATGAATAAAAAAATTACAAAGATAAATGTAATAGCCTAAACCTTTTTAAATAAGCAAATAGCTTTGGATACAGGGAGGGTCAGGCAGAGGATCAAAGTCTAATAATTATGAAATATGATCTCGATTTGTAGGTTTATGATATGAAACAAGTACAAACTAATGTTGAGGTTAGCAAAACAAACAGAATGCTGTGTGAGTCGGTTACTATGATGAGCGCAGATTAAAACACCAGAGTTGGAAGACACACCTGCTGGTTCCAGGTGTGCCGGTCAGCTACAGCAGCACTGTAGAGAGAGTTATGCATAAGAGCGGAACTGTGTGTCGGTGTTGCTCTGCAGCAATGGAAACTCTTTGAACATATGGTATCATCACCCAGATGTGTTGATCACAGGGATGAGGAAAAAAATAGAGGCCAGCTCCTTATCCCCACTGCTTTCAGGTAGCCTTAGGATGCAAAGACAGAACGGGATACACTGTAGACGTTGCAGGTGTATTAATGGAAACACACTGAACATAATAACGCACAGTACGCCATCACGCAGATGTGCCGATCACAGGTACCCTTCTGTGATGTACTCTGTAGTGACATGACTACACAACAACCTTCAGAGGATGTTTTTGTTCTGGTGGTGCACTGGCCGAAGTGTAGTGTGCTGTGGATTAGTGTAGATGAATGCAAAATGAAAACAATAAACAGCTTATTTCGGGTGGTAACGTGTTATGTGACACTGTAAATGTAATACTATTACCCGAGATCCTGTTGTAACACGTTATATTACTTTGTTACAGCTTTTACATACTATATTACCAACACTGCTTAGCAAATGCAATAAAATCATTTCTGAAGAAACAGTGTGAAAGATTAAGGGAGATTTAGTGGTGTCTAGCAGTGAGGATTGCAGACTGCAACCAGCTTCCAGTTAGAATTCCTTTAGTGTTCATTGCTCAGGAGGTTTTTACCAGGTGCCGAATTATCCGCAGAGGTCTCTTCTGCTGTATAAAACTGAATAAAGTAGTTTAATGTTACATATCAGTGTGTCTCCGGCAAAGTCTGGCACATCGCAGATGGGCTGCAAGCATAGCACCTGCTAATGTGCGCCCACCTTATTTCTGATCTATACGTTAAAGACATTTTTCCAGGAGCTGAAATATCCTCAGAGGTCTCTTCCTCTCCAAAACAACCGGTCCAGGTGATTAAAACGGATAGAAAACACTGAATAAAGCAGTTTCACATTAAAAAATCAGTGTTTCCGACACTCGTTGCGGAGACTACGACCTGCTCCCTATGTAGATATAAATAGCTCATTTTAAGATTAAAAAAACCCAAAATGATTATTATTTTCAGGTGATTTTACCAAAATTATTATTATTATTATTATTATTATTTTTTTTATATTCCATTTCCACCAGTACACCCCCCTAAATCCTACACACTGGACCTTTAAATTAATATGAAACCCCAGGGCATTGCAGGACCCCTCCGCGCACCAGAATTGCATTGCAAGTCAACAGCTTGGGTCCATCTGTACTTCCTGTCAGCTGATTACATTAACATACAATGCAAAATACATTTATATTTTTGTTTGAAATGGTCTACACATCATCCCTTAGTTATTGTACTGTTGTGTTCTTGTGCTGTAAATGCTGTTGATACGCAGGTGAATATGTGTCTTTGCTAATATGATGTGTTTACACAGTGTACCTGTGTCGTAAAACCTGTGCTGATGAGATACAGGTGAATTTATGTCTAGTGATTGAGCTGTTGGCTTTGAGTGTTCCTGTTGTGTAAATCCTGTTTAGATGCAGGTGAGTGTAGCCTGAGTTGATAAAATGTTAAATGCAACATTTTTGGTTAGCCATCCAGCAGTTTCCTTTGTTGCGAAATAAGGAAATGAAAACATGTTTTTAAGTTGAATGTACTATCAAATTTAGGATTTGTCAAACCCTTTTCAGGGGTTTGAGGTGTAACACTGTGTAAGCTGATACAGTGACTCTGTTGGTGAGAATGCACGGTGCTGTTATGGCGAGATTTTATAGAAAGATCAGGTTTCTGTGTAGGAATCACTGATTTTTGTTCCCTGTCAGCAGAGGAGACACGGAGCAGTTTAAGGGCCCTAAAGGCAGATCAATCAGCGCTTGTCTGTGGAAGTTGAACTGTTGGAAAGGTCAGACAGGTCAGCGAGAGTTCACCGCCTGAAGCTCTCTCTGCCATCATCACGAACAATAGGTCATTGTCACAGGGAGGCAGGGTCGCTTGTACCAATTTAATTGGTCCGAAAAATCAACGCCGCTTATTTGGATGATTCAGAAATTAAATATATTGCAGAATATCTCTGAGTATTTTGAGTGAGAATCAGGTGCACGCAGCACAATGGATGACCTGAAATGACAGCAGCTTGGATACATGAGCCACTAAGTACCCCATAAAACACCTTCACGCCTCTCCTTCTCGCTCTTTCCTTCTCCCTCTGTCTCACTTTCTGCCCCTCCACCCCTCTCCATCTGTCTCTTTCCATAGCCCTGTCTTACTCTCACTCCCCCCCTTCTCTTTTTTTTTCTTCATAGACAGATGATACGCTGTCCTCCTTCCAACACCCTCGCAGTAGCATATTTCTCTCCCTGGAGCAAGTAACTCTGTCTTCTGCCTGTGTCCACACTCCTGTCCCCCCCCCCCCACACCACCACACCCCCAACAACACAACCCAGGACAAGCATGGCCTGCAGCTTCGATGGCCCTCCGTGGAACAAAAACACACGCTGCCTCTCAAAAGCCTCCTTTATCCGTGGCGAACAAAAAGACAGCTTCACCTCCGCACTGTTCCCACCATTAGGCCCTGGCCTGGGCCCTTTTTCTCCTCGTCTCCTCCTCTCTCCCTCCTGCTCACACCCCCCCACTGGCTCCTTTCAGCATGGGGCAGTGGGGGTGTGAGGTACGGCCTTTATGTTCACATGTGTCCATGCTGGTTTACTCTGTCAGACTTGCCCCCTTCACAATAGGCGTGCAAAGAGATTGACCAGCAGCTTTTGACGCGACCACCCCCATTCAGATATGAATGAGCATGGGTGGAAAAACACACCTGCACCTTTATGTGGGTGTGCATTTAATGCTGGAGGGGTATGTCTGCTCTGGCTGACTTGGACGTTTGGAATTGAGCCTGAAATCGACTCTGAATTAGGGTTGGGTATCATTTGGGTTTTTCCGATCCCAGTACCGGTGCCTAAACACTGCCTGAACCAATACTTGGTAATAAATGCTACATGGGCTGTAGCATTTATTTACTGACAGTTAAATTCATCTGTTCACACACTGCACTGTTACGTTTAACTTCATACTCTCTGCTCCAGTCGCTGCAGCCTCACTGTCACTGTCGCCGACAAAGAGGTTAAAGAGAGGAGAAGTCACAGCTTCACATCGCTTCATATCTTTGGGCTTTAACACATGCACAGGAGAATCTGATCTGCACTTGTAAGGGCTCAATAGCTGGCGCAGTATCAGAACACACTTAAATATAACTACATTTTGTTTCTAGAGCGGCAACAGTAATTTTTACAACAGCAAAGTCACTATTGAAATAATATTCCTGACATCATGAATTCAGTTTTTATCAGTTACTATAAGTCATTCCTCCTGTCCTCTGTCCTGCTCCCTCTCTGCTGATGGTTGTTTGTCTCAGCCAGCAGCCTAATTTTAAGATGAGTGGTAAACCAAGCTAAACAGTTAGACTAAATACAGATACCTGTCATTTTAGCTTATCTGTAACAATTAGGTAGTAATTGTTACAGATAAGCTAAAATGACAGGTATCAATTAGGTAGTAGCCGAACTAGTGTGTTATCCTTGTGTAAAACGTGTTAGGGCAGTGGATGAGGGACTTCGGACAGAGCAGAATGTAATATCACTGTCTACATGTTTATACTTGCTGAATATGTGTATCATCAAAATATTGGCTTTTTACTTCCAAAGGTTTGATTGCACTTACAGTAACAAGCTCAGTTGCCGTCAACTCAGGTAATTTTCAAGTTACTTTCTCTTCGTTTCCACAGCAGCCTCTCTGCTGTTTACTGACTTTACTCCGTGTCGTGTCGGTGTGTTTGTGTGGATGTGGAGGAGGTCAGCCCCTTCACAGAGTGCAGGTGAGAGGCTGAATTGAATTGAACCAACATGTTTAAAAGTACCGATAGCTTCGGAGCTTATCAACACTATGGTCTTTGATAATTTAGCTCCTGGGCTCGTTTAATACCAGATTCCGGAACCCATCCCCAGTTCAGAGGTATCTGCAGTTGGTGTTACGTACAAAAAATAAACGTATGGGTGGGAATTTCAATTCTGAGACCATAAACAAATGCTGTCTTTATGAAAATGTTCTTTTCTATATCGGCCAGTCTACAATTGAGCGTACCCAAAAGTTCTGTCAGGCCGAGCGCACCAAAGAAGGCTTAAAAGAGTGCACCCAAAGAGCACCTGAACAGACACCGTCCCTTTATTTCTAGCATCGTCTGCTGTAACCCTCCAACATCGTAGCTCCAGTT